CTTGTTCTTTTTCCTATATAGGCTCCTGTGTTAGTGCTAGTTTTGCATGCTTAAACATCACGTCTATTCAGTGAAACTGAGGAGAAAAAGTCATGGGAAGTAGTGTCCGGAGTTGCACTACCCTATAACACGAGTCATTATGTTTTTGAAACTCTTATAGTAAGAAGTCACAAGTCAGTTTCGTAGGCGGAATTAATATTTTAACACAATCGATTGACCTTAGTCAAGCCTACTCATAGAAAGTGTTACCATCATTAGAACAATAGCACCTTTTTGGGTATTGGAAATTCCATACAGTGTATAAGCTGATTGTTATTTGTACAAAGTATCATAATGATATGAATGCTCTACGAGGAAAAGTACCTAGATTCCTGAGAAAGCAACGTTATAACTGAATCTATTTACTTGCTTTTTGATCTTACGTATTATTTCAGTACCCTTTATGTACAAAAATAACATGCTTTAGATTTACATAATATTTTTTGAAATAAAAAGGAGAACTTTAGTACATATGAAATACTGCTGTCTTGTATTTTTATGTACTGCCGTTGGCAGTTCACCAAATATGTTCTTGATAGCTATGAATTCTGTAAAAAAAACTCTTATAGATATAGAATTGTTCTTTGTTTTTTACAAAAAAAATTTGTAGTTTTATCTGTTCTACACTTCAGTCAGATTTTCAGAAGGCGATCATAGAATGCGAAGAAGAGTATGCCGATAACAAAAAGCTCATTGAAATCAAGGATTTAAGACGGCAAATTCCAAAGGGATTCAGGTGTGATCTTAGGCTTTGCGATAACTGGTCAGTCAATATGGTTGGCTTTAAATAACTTTTTCAGTTACTTTGCAGTAGATTTCGGTTTGAGCAATGGATTTGCTCACGTTATTGAAAACAACGAGACCTTTCCTTCAACATTTGCCCATGTGAGTTGAGAATGACATTAGTAATAGCATAGGCATCAATCAAAATAGAATAAATCTTGATAGTGAGTGATTCGTGGAAATCTGTCTCAAGTTAGAGATTTCAGGAGATCATTGCGGGAATGCTTGATTTGCCTGCTAACAAGTGGAGACATCGGAAAGCACAAGAGTTCTCAGTATTGAAAGCAAAGTGCGATGCAATGAAAGCCGCTTGGGAACCGTATGATTGGACAAAAAAGATAGACAGAAAGAATAGCTGATATGGGACTTTTTCTACGACATTCAAACACAAGACCTCTACCTCGATTTTCTTCCTTCTTCATTGCATTTTGTTGTGTGCACATATTAATAACCAGTTCATTGGCTTACGATAGTTATTCAGTCTATGAGCCTACAACTCATATTTTGTTTGAGAAACAGAGTATGGAAACAAGCAAGGCTCAATAATTGATCAGTTGCAGCAGTTTTCGCTGAATGAATCATCGGAAAGTTCGTGCCGTTTTTCACACTTAGAAAAATTTTATGAAATTGAAAGTCTTGGCAACCCTTTCTACTCTTTGAAAGAAGAGATTTTCCTTTACAAGGCCTATTTGGCTTATACAATGATCTCGGTTTGTTGAACTGGAAGCATTATAATTGTATCAGGACCAATAAAGCTCAGCCGAGAGGTTAGTTTATGTAAAAGGAAGTTGGTCAGTTAAATGCTGCTAGGATATTGACTGTGCTATCTATGAAATTAAACCCATGCTAGCATAAATCGCTATAGTATTGTGGTAGGTGCACGCTGCGGAGTCAAATTACGTTGCCAGAGAATCAATCTACCGGGTCAGATGATTAGCAAGCTGACCAGGGAAGAGTTACTGAATTATTCAATTTTCAAGCAGATCGAAAATCTTGACCTTTTCATCGTACATCTACATCTATGCTTACAATGAGGGTTTATTTGTGGTATGATCTTTGTTGTAAGCTGCAAGTTGTTTTAATTGAACCCAGCAAATCGACACCACCTTTTAGGCAAGTTTTATGATTTTGAGCCTGCGCGTATACCTACGTAATCCTGCAGTAGGGTCTTATTGTGAGTTATATATGACTCACTTTATGGGATAGCCAGTTACATCCATACGTAGCATTATAGTGAATTCTAGAAAGGCGAGCTACCGGGTTTTTAGTCTTCTAAAAGTACAAATTTAATCGCTTCTGACTCATAGGTCGAATTAAGTTCAGCTCGAACACTGGCTCAGCACAAAAATTATTCGGCGACTCAGAGCTTAAATCGTTCGTAGATAGTGTTTCCATGATGAAGCAACCCTACGGTCAAAATTTTAGGACGTCGCATTTTGAGCATCTTACTGCTAGTTGTTTTAGTATGGGTGTTTTAGTTAAACTGCGTTATAGAGTCATTTGATGTTGTGTCGTTGTATACAAATGTGTCAAACAGCGACGCTTTACAAGCGCTTTCTGAGTTACTCGTCTACATATCACTAATATGGAAACGTACGGACTTAGTAAATCGAGAATCATGTCCCTGGCGAAGGAGCGTCTCGGCTGCAACATTTTCAAATGGTCGGGCAGGTACTTTACACAAGTGGGAGGATTGGCAATGGGACAAAGATTAGTGCCGGTGCTTGCAATTTGCTTTATGAGCAAAATAGAGCAGCCAGTGCTATTTCGGTGTCCCTTAATGTACTGCCGCTATATCGATGATTGTTGCATTGTCATGTCAACACAATCCGAAATGGATAAGTGTTTTAAAATACTCAATCAATCACAGTACATTGAACTAACTAACTAGAGAGTAACCACGAGAAGGCTGGCTGCCCTATGTTAATATTCAACTAATGCTGGCTAACGGAACGGTAAACGTAAAATGGTATCGAAAAGAGCCGAAAACCTCGTTCTACACGCCAAATCCTCATCCAACTGCCATGAAACGCGAGATTATAACATGTATAGAACGGCAGCCAGTGTTTGTAGCGGTAAAAGCGAAAGATTGGAGTTCTTGAAAATGGCATCTAACATAGTATCCAACAATGGCTACTTATACTTACTGCAATCGAAACCTCCAAAGCGAAAGCCTATAAGCAACCATATCTAAACTAGAATTCCCCTGCCGTTCGTATCCGACAAAGTGACTGCCGCAGTTAAGCAAAGTTTAGACGGCGAGTCTCATGAGTTCGTTAGGGAAGCACAA